AAAAAGGGGTTTAAAAGAACAGAGAAAGACATCCTTTCTTGTACAGTGTCGTGGTGCACATATGCATCACGCGGTCCGCGGTGTACATGCGTCACACCATGTGCGGCATATATGCGTGTCGCACGGTCTGCGATGAAAAAATGATAAAATAAAGCATCCCCTGAGTTGTGATGGGATCATACTTACGCATTTCTTTTCCGAATGGTAGAGTCGACTGCGGGCGGCCTCCTTCGATGCACTCTTTTATATCTCGTGCCGGAATAAAGAAGAATATCATATTTGAACATGCTGCTATTGCAGCAAAACTGGCATACATCCAGAAGATATCTTCATCATTGAATTGACGCGAAATCACAGACTCGTCCACTGCTGTCGTTGAGTTCCCATTTATCGTTGGGGTTACGGGGTCGTTCAAGTGAAATACGACAAATAGCACTGCTCCGCCAAAGAGAAGGCTGAAATCTATCTTTTGTGCTTCCTCTAGTGAGTCTGGCTATGAGCTCCTAGTTGTTTCTTGCCAAAAAAATCGTACCAGAGATTTCCTATGGACCAAGCGATGGCCGAGTTTTGTTCGATAGTGTTCCTAGTGGAGTGTGACGTGAGGTAAGCAGTATAGCCAGTATAGAAGACTGAAATAGAAACATTTGATGGTAATGCTGTAACTGGCGCAATGGTAATAGATCGATAGTCACTCATGGGACGCAACCGGTTTTCCAAAGTGACACAGCATTTTTCAATACAGTAATCGAGTACACAGACACCGCATCGCGTCCGCGCGCGTCTGGGTTCTGCATCTTCCAGATGTCTGCTCACGTGGACCTTTTCGTTTTCTGCCTAACAACTCTTTATTGAAGTCGTGGAAGTGTCACACTTGTCATCAGCTCGATTCATGATGAACGGAGAAGGGCGCTGGTTTCGCATTCACTTGGCACTGTGACTTGGGTAAAAGCTTACGCTAATTGCTAGCCGTAAAACCCTGGCAAGGTAACGCACTTCGGTCAAGGCACACTCCACCATTACCCGAGATGGATCAAGTCTCTTCATATAGGATAAAGCCGACCACAAAATGGTCAAATGTACATTTTTGCTAAGCTCCAGCCTACTCGGTCCGAAGTAGCGCTCTGAGAGAGATAATCTATTCATTCATGTTGAGACCGACAACCGCTATTGCATGCAACGCAGTGGCCTGAGCAGAAATGTGTCTGCGTCTCACATTTCCGTCATTATCTCTCGTCCGTGCTCTCTCCTTAGCCCGCTGTGTATCTCCGTCGTAGCATGTCCGCCAAAAGGAGGTTTTTATTTTGGAGCTCCGTGTGTTCCATTTTCTTTACATATTAGTCCCTTTCACATATATAACTTTTGATAAGAATATCTTTCAATAATGAGATGCGCCCTTGGATGGCTGTCAGTTTCAGGCTTGCCTAATATGCATCCCTTGGAGCTATTTTTTATGCAGTTACATTACTTGTAGCAGTACTTCTATGAGAAAACAATGCACAATGAGACTCACAGGCAAATCCGATTCCCATCAGTGCGCTTGAAAAGTAGTAGAAATAGTTGTTGAGGTAGAAAAATCCCGCATGATAGATAGTCCAACTGATGGAGCCGAGAAAAAGTGACCATTTTGCCGAAAGCAGCGGTAGCAGCGATGGTGTTATAAGACAGGCCAGCATGTACCCCATATAACAGGTCGCCTGCCTGAAATGAAATCAGTGGCCGAGTTCACTTTTCGAAGGCAGGCCATTAAAGTAGAGGTGTCAACGGTACCGGGATGAAGAAAAGCTATGAGAAACTTGAACAACCCGATAAATGCGCTCAGCTCTTGGGAGGGGGCATCCGAAACAGGGCGTCTGATAACCGCTAGGAACCA